ACCCTCCATATTCCTTATCTAAGTAATCATCCTAATCCTTCCAAGCTATTGTTAGAAAGATGTTAGCAAAACCTAACAGAAACAAGAGTTGACCAGATTGCTTATACAATATCTTATAACTATTAATCCAATTCTCATCAATTCACTATTACATTTATGGAATGTCTCTTAATTAGTTCTGATATTTCCAAATACTGTCATGATTTCAGAGGATAACAATTGGATACATTGTTGCGTCACTGTGTGAAATTTGGATTCCTCGTCAAACCTGCAAGAAAGAACCATTCTTGAGGGTTTATATTTGGCAATGGTGAGAATGTGTCGTTTCAGAATCTTCACCTTCATGGTGCTACCCCCATTTTGAGCCTAAAGCCATCTTAAAATATTTATCTTTCAATTTTAACATCTACATGAAATTGCATACATGAATATAACATATTTACGATTAATCCATTTTTTAAAATCTTCCCATTGTCTTCCTCAAGTTATATTTCTGTTACGGATGTGATTCTTGACCTTTGTGAAATGACTATGGCTCTCATATTATATATATATATATATATATATATATATATATATATATATTTTATTACTTATTTACACATTTTTTCAATGAAAAAAGAAAATAATGTAAGATAAGAGCACATTGTCTTTACATGGGTCAAGGACTGTAAATGGAACTTAAGGACACCGTTGGAAAGATTATGAAAAAAAAACCAAAGTTGTTATTATGTGTAAAGCATAATGTGACAGCTTTTTTAATTTACTAAAAAATCAAATTATTTAAACTTGTGAATTCAAAATCAGCTGTTTAATCTTTAAATATTATTAAAAGAGAACCTTTAATTCATTTATAAAGTAATCAGGGCCCTTGATTGTGTTTTATTATTCTGTTTTTCACCCTTAGATCAAATTGTTGATATCATCATTTCCAAATAAAATTCAAACACAATTATATTTAATTATAGAATCTGTAATAATTATAGAACCTTGAAATTCAGTAATTATTTTATCAATTGAAACATATCATTATATTTATATACATGATATGAGTTTCTTTAATTAATATTGTTCTTAATTTAACTCCCTTATTTATAGGTTCTGATTTCCAAATTCAAAGCCGTTTATATTTTATTTACTTATTTGTTTTATTAAATCTCATTAAACAAACATATCAATAATTAAGTTATTAAGCTATAAAATATAATCTAATCCCATTAAATCAGTAAAATATTTAAGAGTCAAAATTAAATTCAATATTATTCATAATTTATCTTCCAATATATCTCTAAATATTATTAAAAGAGAACTCTTAATTCACTTATAAAGCAATCAGGGCCCTTGATTGTGTTTTATTACTCTGTTTTTCATCCTCAGATCAAATTACTGACATCATCATTCTCAAATAAAATTTAAACACAATTATATTTAATTATAGAATCTGTAATAATTATAGAACCTTGAAATTCAGTAATTATTTTATCAATTAAAACATATCATTCTAATTATATACATGATATTAGTTTCTTTAATTAACATTGTTCTTAATTTAACTCCATTATTTATAGGTTTTAATTTCCAAATTCAAACCTGTTTATATTTTATTTACTTATTTGTTTTTTTAAATCTCTTTAAATAGGTATATCAATAATTAAGTTATTAACCTATAAAATATAATCTAATCCCATTAAATCAACAAAATATTTAAGAGTCAAAATTAAATTCAATATTATTCATAATTTATCTTCCAATATATCCCACATAAAATGAATAAATTTGAGATAAGTTTTTGAATTTTAAAACTTATTAAATAAGAAAATCAATTAATAAAAAGTTTTGAATTAATATAACTGATATTTTTTTTTTTCAACCTAAAACAAAACCACCTATTAATATGATATATATTTAATTTACCGTGTTAAACGTGGATCATAACCTAGTTTTATTAAATATTGTACAACTTAAAAAATAACATAGTTGTATAGGAATGCAATTCCCATACAATTTCATTTATATTTTAGAATATAAAATATAAATGACATTCAATATGATCATATTTTGATCAAATTACAGTCATATTTGGCCTACATAATTGGCCTTCAATATGATCATATTTTGATCGAATTGCAGGTGTGAATTTTATTTATATTTTAGAGTATTTTCTTTAATCAAATCTTGGTTGACCGAATTTGTTACAGGGTCATAAAGACCGTCTTTGCAACTCGTCCCTCCTTTCAATTTCATTTCTAATTCCCTCATAGTATGGTTTTAGAGTTTTAGTTTTCAATTTACAAATAATATTTTAGAATATTATTAACTTTTTTGGTTTTTGTAATGCGAGGTATTCTTTTGAACAATGGCTTATACACTATGAGTTACATTTGGTAACTTCGGCAACATCTTAACTCATATTTTGTGCATTATATTTACTGCTAAATCAAATTAAAATATCAATATATCAAAATAAAAAGTATTTATTTTAAGACGTGTAAATCCGTACAGTATACAAATAGAGGCGTACAACTTTTGTGTTGAATGGATGGGAAAACATTCTTTAACCATATTTAGTTTTGTCGCATCAAAACTTTTAATAGAATATTATGTACGGAATAGTATTTCATGTTTAATTTGTAGCAATTTGATTTTGAAATATGTATCTTTTGATGTATTAAATATTTCTTTTAGTTTTTATAGAAGTATTTTGTTACTTTTGGTTTTATACTAATTGTATTGTTATAAAATTGATATAAATAGTCAAATTGAATAACTAAAATTTAATGAATAATGGTCCGGAACAATTTCTATGGTATTCGTTACGAAAAAATTGCTACGTATTTTGTTATGGAAAAATTGTTAAGGAATTTTGTATGGAAAAATTGCTACGGAATTGGATATGGAAAAATTGCTACAGAATTCGCTACGAAAATATTGCTACGTAGTTGGTTACGGAAAAAAATGCTACAAAATTGGTTACGGAAAAATTGCTACAGAAAAATCACTACGAAATATTATTAATGAAAAATTGCTACGGAATTACTTACAGAAAATTTGCTACGGAAATTGCTATAAAAATACAATGAAACTCAAATTACAATGAAATAGACGCCGTAGAAGCTGTCATCGTAAAATTGCTACGGAATTATAATTCCGTAACTAAACAATTTGCCACAAGAAATAAGCTATGGGGTCTAATTAAAAATTTGTGTATTAAATTCCATAATTATTCAACTTTAGCTACGAAATTTAAGCTTTTTACTATGAATTTATTTTTGTAGATAAATTGAAATTTTCTTATAATGTAACCAGAGTTACTATTACATACGTTAATGATATCTATTGTCTTTTACATATCAATGAAAAACAATTTTGTATTTTGTTTAAGTGTATAACTTACGTCTCATCGTATCTTGAAGGCCCGATGTAGAGATGATGGTTCGTTTTCCATTCGTGGCATCTCCATATGAGAATTCGAATTCAAAATGGGGTGTTTGTAGTCCCATCAAAGTATAAGGTAAGACTCATTCCATCCTCAATGCATATTAAGCACTCTTTAATCTGAATCTAATATAATAATAATAAATCCTATTCTAACTCATCATCTAGCCAATCACCACCATGGATCCTTATCACCTTCCATGTCTATATCTAAAATATTTGTTTGCCGGGTCATCCGGTCATCTTGTAAGGAAACCGGTTTGGTTGTAACTATACTACTCTTTGTTGAGTACAAGGTTATACCCAATGTAATCTAGCATACTGTAAAATATATTATTATTATTATTATTATTATTATTATTATTATTATTGAAAATAGATAATATTTGAATAATCTGTGACTATTGATTCAAGATTTGTATAAAATTTCAAATTAATACCAACGTTAATGAGTCAACTAAATTATTCCATGGATTTTTATAGGATTTCTACATTGCATTTGATTTTATCTATTGTCTACAGTGATTTACAATATTTATATTTTGAGATATGAGTCATGTATTCTATAACTCCGTATCATCCTAACATTCCGAGCAATAAGGTAAAAATCATAATTACATTTAGCACTGGTGAACTCCTAATGTGATTAAATAAGGTAATAACTTCTTTAACTCATGATGGATCGATGAAATTCAAAGCATACTGGTTCCGATGTGGATCGACATCAATTTTGCCAAATCACAAATTAACAAAAGATGGTCAATTGTTTCTTCTTTCAACTCCTCAAAGTAGACATGTAACGAAGTCCAATGACACACCAGAAATAAATCCGATTGATTTGATGACACAACAATGGATTTAATCGATATCACAAGTGCAACTCACAAATAAATTACTTAATTAAAGTAGCACTTCAAATAAAAGATGACAATAGTAACACCTCAAATAAGCCTTCCCCAAATTACATAAAGGTAATCTCATTGGTCAGATAGAGACAATCAAACCCCAACTTTGACCAATCCATTTTTTCTTTTAATAATCATTAATTCAGCTTGTGTCAAAGCCGGTCTTCAACAAAACACGAATTTGCCATTTTAATTTGAAGTAATGACATTTCCTCATTACATTATTAACTTCAGTGATAGATTATAAAACATTTATAATATTAACCTAATAAAGTAGGAGCATGAACCAAATCTCATTCAGCATGATAAGAATCAAATTAGAAGCTTCGTTGGCATTAAACACGTGAGCATCCATCGTGTCTTCCAGCTAATCAAGCTTAATCCAACTTAACAACTTACTAAAATTTTGAACCGGATTTAATTCGTTTTAAGGTTACGTTCTCACATTTGTTATTGATTTATAAAAACTTAAAATATATTCTGTCAACATAAAGTCAGATTTAATAAGTAAATTTGAAATCCGGAAACCCCTATAAATACCCCATCCCGCCACCTTTCTGATTACGCTAAACCTAATTCGAAGATTTCACAAGGCAACAACAGTTTTCTGAAACATTTCAAAGAGATACATATACATATACATCTACAAAGAGAGATACAATGGCTGGGTGGGCAATTGCAGTACACGGCGGCGCCGGTGTTGATCCTAACCTTCCGACCGAACGCCAAGAACAGGCGAAGCAACTTCTCACACGCTGCCTTAATCTCGGAATCGCTGCTCTTCGTTCTTCTGTTCCCGCCATTGACGTCGTTGAACTCGTCGTAAGCTTTCTTCTTCGTTCCTCTCTATGATGCACCTCAATATTTTTCATGATTTGCAATACATTGTCGAGAATCATGTGGATTGTGGAGTCGCAATTTCGTTTTGCATGCCATGTGTTTGAGAATTGAGACTTGCAATTTTCAGATCTAGGTTAACGTCGCATCGATTTCATTTGGTTCTTTGGATTATTTGTCCGTACGTAATAACGAATTCGAGTGATTAATTGAATTTAATGTAGGTTCGTGAATTGGAAACGGATCCTCTGTTCAATTCAGGTCGTGGATCTGCATTGACCGAGAATGGTACTGTGGAAATGGAGGCCAGTATCATGGATGGTCCCGGCAGACGATGCGGCGCCGTTTCAGGGCTCACAACCGTGAAGAATCCCGTCTCCTTAGCTCGCTTAGTCATGGACAAATCCCCGCATTCCTATCTCGCCTTTTCCGGAGCCGAGAAGTTCGCCAAACAAATGGTACCTCACTAATTTCATTCATAAACTCCCTTTCTACACCAAAATTTCTCTTAAATAAAGTGCTAAATCTTATCACAGTTGTGTAATTGTGTTCCGATGACTTACATTTTACTTTCTGCATTTTTAGGGTGTAGATCGGGTGGAAAACGACTACTTCATCACCCAGGACAACGTTGAAATGCTCAAATTAGCAAAAGAAGCCGATTCCATTGTGGTAACTACCTTCCCTATCGTTTACGATGAATGAATTAAAAAGCGTGGTAATGTGCTATAATACATCTTCAATCTCAATATCTTTTCTTACTTGGTTTCGAAACAGTTTGATTATAGGATACCGAAAGTATGTGGAACCGGAGTACAGAGTCCAATACAGATGAACGGGCTTCCGATCAGCATCTACGCACCAGAGACAGTCGGTTGTGTGGTGGTCGACAGCCAAGGGCGGTGCGCCGCTGCAACATCAACCGGTGGGCTTCTAAACAAGAGAATGGGCCGGATAGGTGACTCACCACTTATAGGCGCAGGGACCTATGCATGTGACTTATGTGGGGTCTCGTGCACTGGGGAAGGTGAAGCCATAATCCGGGGGACTCTTGCCCGTGAAGTGGCGGCGGTGATGGAGTATAAAGGGCTGCGGTTGCAGGAGGCGGTGGACTTTGTGATTAAGGAAAGGTTAGATGAAGGGAAAGCAGGGTTGATTGCGGTGTCCAACTCCGGCGAGGTGGCGTATGGGTTTAACTGTGTAGGGATGTTTAGGGGATGTGCTAGTGAAAATGGGTTCATGGAAGTTGGGATTTGGGATTGATTTAATTGTAATGATTAATTAGACACATAAACACATTGTTTATGTGTCTTAATCATGGGTTCATTGTAAGAATTATAATGCTATGTAGTTTGGAATCAAATAAAATGTGCATTATAAAACTATTTATTCATCATCAGATGTTATTCACAAATCGAATAACATATTCTAAGTTTCTAACAAAACCATATATTTTCTGAATGTTCATATATTTATCAAATACGCCAACTTGTCATATTTGATGCGATTTGGGGCCAAAAGTGCTTAATTTATACAAAAGAATGTGACATAACTAATGTCTGATGTATTTTTTTGTTGGTATTTAAACAGAGCAAGGGGACATGGACAAAGTAGTCCTGAATTGGCCTTTCCCGTGCCCAAAAGCTCTCCTAATTAATGGTACCACTTCTGTCCTTCTATTCTACACCGCAAGTGTAACCATCACAAGGGTAGTTTTGGAATAATAGTAAATGAATCTTGCTCAAGATTCTTTGTTTTCTTCCTCGAGCCAGTATCCCACAATATACGCACATGCATTCAAGATCTTTGCTTTCCCACAAAATGGTAAATGTATCTTGTAAGATTCCGCTTCAGGCATAAAAGGTCAAAATCTTCTTTTAAGATTCTTTCATGATGTTTCTCTCAAATCTAGCATTCAATTAACAACCATAGGAAAACCGGAACATCCCTACTTTAATGAAAACTAGGCGAATTTCCGTGCGTTGCGCGAGAAAAAAATTATATAGATACAATAATAATTTTTACCAAATTATTATTTAATATTTCTATTTTGAAATAAAATGTTAGTAGTAAAGCAAACATATAGTTAATATATTAGTTTTATTAAACATTATAGTTTTATTTTTAAGTCGTGATATATACAATTATTTGATAATTTTATAAACCATTTAAAATTGTGTAAATTATATATCAAATGAATGATAATATAACGGGTAACAAAACGTATGAACAAAAATATGAACTGTAACTTTTAGTAACATAAAAATAGAAAAACATTTATTATAACATTTGTATTAAAAAAAGATATATATACAACGAATAATAAAACATATGAAAAATAAACAATTTAACTTTTAATAACATAAAAACACTAAAACATCTATTATAATATTTATATTAATTCTTCATATTTAAATCACAAATCTCTTCAAATACATTAATGTTATTAGAGAGCAAAACTTTACAACCTTATAAAAGAAAGGAAAATAAAAAGTTATTAATGATTACTAATTACTAATCATAAGTTAAAAACTATTGAGTTGTAACTAATAAATATATATAAATTAGAAAACTCTTGAGTTGTAGCGTGAGTTTCAAATGAATGCGGCACTTGGAAATGTATTATTATTATTATTATTATTATTATTATTATTATTATTATTATTATTATATTCGTCTAAATAATTGGTTTTGATGCATCATTTTAATCCTTTCAAGTATTAAACAAAAATGTATTTAATTATAAATTTATAACATAAATAGGTGCATATACATGTTAAACAAATCACATATATATATATATATATATATATATATATATATATATATATATATATATATATATATATATATATATACACATTCGTAAATGTCATATGTAATTCTTACCATAGTAATATGGATAAGTTACTTTTATATAAAGAACATATCATGATAAGTCTATCATAATTAAATATCAAATGTTTAAAATTATGTTATCTTTTAAATATTATCTATTAAATATGTTATGTAGGATAACCCAACAAAAAAAAATAAAAATAAAAAATAAACATAATCAAAATAGAAAAACTATAATCAAATAAATAAGAGTATTAGGTAGTTGAATATAAAAATGTTACATATGCATACATTTAAATCAAAAGAAAAGACTAACATTCGTCAACTTTGCTCAAACAAAAAAAACCTATATCCATTTTATGAATCTTCTTTCTTCATTTAACACCATTCAACCATAGAAACTTGATGACAATTCTTCACTAACTTGCAATCAAAATATTTTCCTTGAAAAAGAAGAATCAGAAAGATATTCCAAGCAAAACATTCTAGATTGAGTAATACACACAAATGACATATAAAGATTAAATGAGAAATTGAATATAAAGAAAGAATATATAAAAGATTCATTTGTTTTGGTTGAAAGAAAAAAATCATATTACAATAACCATCGATACGACATAACCCATTTCTTCAAATCATCATATTTGGATCATGAATGCTTCAATTATATGAAAACTTTTGAATCTCAATATCTTCAAATCCTTCATACATGTAAGATTTTATATAACACAAAAGATACAAAAGATTGGTCTTTTTATAGTAAAATTTTCACTAAATGCTAATTAAACATAATATAAGTTATAAAACTTTTGAGTGTTAAATCATAATGAAGAAAACTTTTGAGTTGCATTAGTTAAAAAATGGAGCTTCAAATGAATGTGGTTTGAGGAAGTTAAAAAATGGGGTTTCAAATGCATGTGATTCAAGAAAAAATGTTAGCTTTATAAGCATGTGTGATACTTAATTAATAACATAAAATTAATACAAAATAAAAAGCATAGAAAACTTTCATGTAATATGAAATGGAAAATATAATCATAATGAGTAAATTTAAGTATCCGGTTTTGGTGATAGTCGACTATAATCACTGAATTATGGTCCTATACAGGGTTTAAGTCTTTCGTCCCAATGGAGAAACCAAGTTTGGCTAAATTGCATTGGGTCTTGTCCTGACTTGGGTCTTATGGTCCTAAACTCGGTCGAAGAAAACTGGTCCAGACCGAAAAAAAGCTTCTTTTTTTTTTTTTTTTTTTTTTTTTTTTTTTTTTTGCAAAAAATAAAAATATAATATGTAACACTTTATATAACAATACATTTGAGAGTTTCGTAAAAGAAATGTTATAGCTATGGCGTGCATGTAGTTTACTAGTGTCTTATTACTCTATGGGGTGTTTGGTTCTTAGAATGAAAGAATGAAATTTATCAAATGAATTAGAATACGAAGGAGCTGGAATCAATCATGCTTCGGTTGACATGGAATGAAATCTGTTTTTTGTTTGGTTTGCATATTTATGATAGGAATTAGAAAGTAAATTATATAATATAACCAAAAAACCATTTATTGATTTTTATAACTTGTTATTATTTTCAAAATGATAAAACTTTCCTTTATTAAACTCTTAACAGATCAGACCTATGTGTGCTTGTTGGCATAGGCACGAGGAAAGCATGTGTTTGTGGATATTGTTGTAGGGGTGGGGTGAGCTTTGATATTGGTGTCGTTGGCATGGGGATGTGAGTGTATGTATAGGTATGGATGTAGGTGTAGGGTTTGTATACGTATATGTCTTTAGGTGTAGGTTTGGGGTGGGGTAGGATTTATGTAGGTATTGGTAGGTATAGGGTAGGGTGGGTGGTGGTAGGGTAGGGTATGTTGGATAAGGTAGGGTAAGGTAGGTGTGGGATGTGATGGGGGTGGGGTGGAGGTGGGCATGTAGGTGTAGAGGTGGATGTGGGGTGGGTGTATGGGTGGATGTGGTAGGGTAAGGAATGGGAAGAGGAGTATGTGCATGTCTTGTAGGTCAAACTTGGACAAAGACTAAAGTCAAAAGTTAAAGTCAATGACCCGCGTTGACCCAACACCCCGAGTTGTCCTTCAACTTGTCGTGTTCTCCATTAACTACACATATAAGGAAAAATCCTATCAACTTGCCGAGTTCACTAATGAACTCGCTGAGTTAGCCAAAAATCCAACAGCTTAATGCATTAAGTTGTTTCCATCAAATCTAGGAACTCCAATTCTTAGATCTCCTTCAAAATGATGTCTAGTAGAGTAAAATTTCCAACTTTACCCTTAGGAACCATCAAAATGAATCAAACCCCAACCCTAGACTCATTAAGGAGATACTTGACTCATTAAGCCTTTAAACTCCAAAGAAAAAGTCCCAAAATGCACATTTGACCTCCAAAGGTTGGGAAATCACATAAAGTTTCCAACTTTATGTCCATGCATGCTAAAAAGAAAACCTAGGGCTTAATATGGGCTTAATAAAGGACTTATTGCATAAATGAGACCTAGGACCTAGTAAAGTTTGCAACTTTAAGCCAAATGAGGTCATAAATGGCTAGATCTAACATGACAACCCCTAGAACACTCAACTTCTTGGATAACTCAACCATGAGACCTAAATCAAGATAAAACCCCAAAATAAAGAGATCTAAACAATAATAAAGCAAGGTATAAACTTGATACCACCAAAAGACTGAAATGAGTGGGGAAATTCAGGATCTAAGTCTTCCCTCCAAACTATGCACCTTCAACTTCAAATCTTCTCAAAAAGTATGCAAAATTATCAACACTTAAGGCCCTCTTCAACCTCTCACACTCACAAGGACGAGGATACACTCTTTAAGGTTTTTTTAGATAGAGGAGGCTGATAAGGAGGCCAACCAAGATACTTGAGGCCTTTAAATAGGGTGCAACACCGTAAAAATTAGGGCTTCCTTCCCAGTCGCCAACTCACCGAGTTCAAGCACCTCAACTCGCCAAGTTGGTTCATTAATTCCCCATGGCCAAAGTCCACTCTACACGCCAAGTTGAAGCTTCCAGATCGTCCAGTTCAACAAGAAAAGTCAACAATTTAGGGAAATAAGTTCATACCGGAACCAAGCATTACACCTTTCAATCCAATATCTTGAAGTTCCTTAGTTCCACAAAAGGTAAGTAATATTTTCCATGTGTTCCTTCTATTTCATTTAATCACACTCATGAAGAATTATAAGGAAACCTTGTATGATGCAAAAATCCATGGTTTGAGAGTGTTGATTGGTCTCAATATATTTTAAACCTCCATCATCTTGTGCCCTAAAATCAAACCCTAAGTGCCTCTTGTGATATTTTAAGCATATTAGTGAGATTTTGGTGGTGTTTTAGTGAAAGACGAAGAAGAAGAACTCTTGATGGTTGCTTGGGAGTATCTTGGGCT